GTGTGTGTGTGAGTGACTGGTATGTGAGTGTGCCCTGCGATAGGTTGGCGCCCCCTCCTGGTTTATACCCTGTCCTGCGGTGGGTTGGTGCCCCATCCTGGGTTGTTCCCCACCTTACGCCCATAGGCTCTGTACCCCCACGACCCTGAATGGGACAAGCAGTTACAAAAGACAGATGGATGGAAGTTCATGAATGAACTTTTCTTTGTCAGGAATTCACTTTCAGCCTTGATATGACCTACTTAGTGGTGCACTGATTTGGAAATTTTCACAAATATCAACAACCAATGGCTGTGAAACTCAGTGGAATGATGTTTGATCTGCTGGCCAGATTTAATAATGAATTAGAAGGCCGTTGCTGGCTGTATAAAATCCTCTGGTAGAGATCTCACCCATCCCATATTCTATGGGATCATCCTGTATTGTAAAATAAGTGTTTTGTTTTGATCTGAGACGAGATGCAATTTCTCCCCTGTTTTTGCCCTGAGTGAACGAACTAGGGGGTGGGGTGGGGGGAGTCCCTCATTTCTTCAGAGTGACACTGGGAAGTGAGCCAAAGAAATCCCTCATCCTTCCTTACGGAAAATGGCTGATGGTCTAATGCAGTCATCTCCATTATTTCATAGCCATTTCTTTAGCTCTAGCAGGGCTGGACTGTCTGTCTGGCATGCTGGGCATTTTCCTGTTGGGTCAGCAAAATTTATCGTGGATGAACACCCACGGTCAAAACTGGGGGACCCCAGTGTCCAGGGCCAAATGGATCCCAGTCCAGCCTTGAGCTCTGGTGCTGCTGTCTTTTAATACTAATAAAGTTTAAATATTGCCAAGATTGACACATCAGACCCATATCTTGATTTTTAAAGAATATTGACCGATAGCAGTGTTAATATGTTAACTCTGCCCAGACCTGCTGTCTCGTTAATGCCTCTGCATCGACGGCACCCGGAAATTGTTGATGTGATAAAGCGTGTTAGTCAGCGGACCTGGGGCCTGTTAGCCTGCCTCATTAGTTTTGGGTTCGGGCTCTGCTGTAGGTGAATGGTACCAGTGATGCTGATCTCTTCTGTTTGCCGTGGTGCCTCCATGACTTGTCTGAGGAGTGTGGTGAAGAAATTACCGGAGTGAAGTGGTTCAGAAGTTCATTGTGAGCTCCTGGTCCTGCTTGATCTGGCGGTTTCTAGTGAGGAATGATAACCTCCCTAACTAATCTTGACATGTCTTGGCTTTTTTGAAAATGCTGATGAAGATCTGGATGCAGTGAAAGTTTTTTAGGGTCTGTCTCAAGATCTTTTCTGTCTTAGTGTCATTCCCTGGTTATTGTGGGGATAGATTTGAGTGATAGATTCCTTTTGAAATTTCTACCATGCAGTACCATTTAATGGGTACCATCTTACTTGCAAACTGGGCTGGAGAGGTCTTGGCGATAGAAACTGACTGATGGGGAAAGTTGCATTACAAAGTAAAATCCATCGTGCAGTAGGCGAGGTGCTGACAGGGGAATTACTGTCTGGCTTGAGGGGCATTGGGGATAATCTGTTGCAGGTAATCTCCTCACCTGAAAACCTATAGAATTTGTAATTCCAATCAGTTAGCCAGGACAGAGCT